ACGTTTTCTGGGGGTGGTTAATGAAAGTTTTCCAAAACGCAACATTAATTTCTTAATGACCTAATATGTTCTGTAAATATTTAATGTATTTTCTGGTGAAGCTTCTTGGATTTTGCCAGTCAGACTCCTAAGGTAATTCGCTTTTCTTCCAAATTCTGTTTTTATGCTATTAATGTGTGGTATATAGTTTAATTTTGAGTCAGATGTAATCCTTAAGAATTTTACTGATGTTGCTTGCTAACTGTAAGAGAGTCCTTTCTAAATATAACTGTGGTATTATATTGCTTGTTTTGTACGATTTTGTGAATAACATGACCTGTGTTTTGTGCTCGTTAATTTTAATTCCCCACTTATTGCAGATCTATTATCAATAATACTGAGCATTTTTATCTGTTCTGAAAATGCTCGTGCACCTTACTACCTAAATGCGCGTGCGCGCGCACTTCATTTCAACGGATGCAAACAAAAGTCGGATGTAAATATACATATATTAGTGGACATTTTGTACAGTAGTATATTAAAAGATTTTAAAAGGTCTAACGTTAGATCGTAAACTATCGGTAAAGTTGAGCCTTAACGAAAATAAACAACTTACATAAGTTACAGTGTTAATTTACTTCTTTATCGAAGATAGGTCATATTTAATAAAGGCTTAACTAATGTTAGGCTTAAGACTAGTGGAGTTATATATTTCGGTGTTTGCGATTAGAACTCTTTTGTATTATTCTAGAAATCCTGTATTTAAAAGAAACATTGTTGCAATAAAGATATTAATTTGGCCGCTAATATTTTGGAGATCTCTGCTAGTACTAACTAACAGCGAAGTGTGGTCAAACAGGTTTACACATTAAAACATCCTTAACTAATAGCGAAGTGTGGTCAAACAGGTTTATACATTAAAACTTTCTTAACCAAGCGGTCAAATTTTTGAATGAAGCATTTTTATTTATTTTTTGATCTAAAGAAATATTATTTTAGTACTATTTAATTAAACTCTTTGCGTTTTTTAACCCTACTTACTTCTAAACAATAGTTTGATGTGTCTTGTAAGGTCCTTTCTGTAAGGTTTGATTTTGTTCCATATAAATCACAACTGATTAGGCTTTCATTCTATTATATTTCGTAAATATAGCTATAGCAGAAGATAGATAATTACATATTTATTTTAGTTAATCTCATTCTTTTACATTATATAATAACAGTATTTCTACTTATTTGTGACTCATATTTCATTACATGAGCTATGTGGAGTCTTCTTTTGCTTCTCCAAGTTTACTTACATAGCAGACTATAAATTATATTAACTTACTAGAAGTTGAACAAGTATGAAGTTTATAAATATAACAAATGGCATCTATATTTCCTAGATATACGCTATAAATTTGGAGTAAATAAAACAAACCCTTAAGCTTAACAGCAAAGCACACGAAATAAAAAAATGACTGGTATAATTTAACCTCCGTGAAGGTAATATTCGTAATAAATGATCTATATAACGCACTACAATAAACCATGGGGGGCGGGGAGGGGGGCATGGAATGGAACAGTTTCTTTCATTAACGTTTGAGGATATGGGACCAAAGGCAGTACGATTAAGTATTAAATAAATAACATTTTGAGAACTGTGTAATTTACTGCTTTTTACCAGCTAAATGACTTCGTCTATTCTTAGAAACTAACTGTGTTTTGTTGATTATAACCAATATATATATATAAATTTATTACTATTTTACAAGAGCTTTGAAACAAACAAATATTTTGTCCCTCTAGTTGTTGAACCGAGAGAACGAAACATGTTGAAGTAATACTGAATACTTAAGTCAATTAACTTTAAATATAAACTAAAAATACTGAAATTATAGACGACCTAATATTTCAATTGTTCATTTTTTATAACTTAATAAATATATTCACAACACTTTAAACATATAATAAAGACCTCTTATGGTTAAAAACTTCTCCACTTAAGTGTCATAACTTTTTAGATAACTTCAGTTTTAGTATCCATTCTTCTTATAAAAACAATGAATCAGTTACTTCAACATTCAGTTTCCGTTCTTTGTTTTAGGTAGTATTTGTGTGTGAGTTGTAATTAAAATGACGAGTTAAGGATGAATTAATATCATATGTTTTAGAATGAAATATAATGACTTATTCATAAAATGATGAAAGTGCTTGATGGATTTCGTTAGAATCATAAAGTCTATACTTCTTTAAGGCCTACTATATATATATACTGTCAATGGTACGATATTTATATTCGGACAATACTAACCGAATTTTTCTTTTTTTGTTGAAATATTTGGTAGCACACGCTCATCATCAGTAATAAACTATTTTTAACAATATAAAATAATTATTTCTTTAGTTGCTTGCAAAAGGCCAACTCGTAAAACACTTAATGCTTTTATCTGATGTAAAACACAGTTACATTTACGAGGTGACTTTCAAAACTCGAGTCAATTCTATTTTTTTTTTATTTTTTACATTACGCTTTATTTATTCTTAAAAATCTAAGCAGCGACTGTTCCATTATGTTTAAAATAGCATGTACAAAGTAAGCAAACGATAATGTAATGATTCGCCCCAGAAGAAAAGGAAATGATGAAAAAACCCTGGGTTATTATTGTTTTTTGAATTGTAATTTATACACCATTTTTACCTTACGTGAATTCCAAGTATCGAGAAAATATCCCTCAAAATCTAGTTTTATAAAAACTCAATTTTGTTAGTGATTTCTTTCAAAACCTGTTGGTATTTGCCAGAAAGAAAATTAACGTTATTTCATTGGTATATGTTATCTGATGTGTCCACCGAGGAGAATCGAACTCCTGATTTTAGCGTTGTAAATCCGAAGACTTACCGCTGTTCCGCCGGGGGACCATTGGAATGGGACACATAACTGAAATCAAATACCTACTTCACTAAGGGTTACAAACACTTCACCATAAATTAAAAATATATTTTTTTTTCTTTCAAACTTAAACTTTTCTTTTGAATAACTACATCAATTTTATCTTTAAATCTGTCTGAACCTAATGAAGTAGGATAGGTTGTAGTTTACCTTCTTATCGGTTTACCTTGATGCTATAGTTGAACCTTTTTAATTTCGTTGGTGATACTTAAGATCCATTTAATGATTATTGGTATATATGTGAAGAGATTCACTTCAAATTTAACTTAAGAACTGATCTGCAATCACGTTAAAGGCATTTTTGGATAAGAGTAAATAGCTCACACAAGTGACTGTGTCTGGTCCAAGTTATATTTAAGATAGGCTGTTGACTCTTGAAATAAAAGTAAGTTAACGCCAAATTTTTGGAATTAAGTCTTGCAGGCTAAGTGCGAATTGAGTAAAACGTGGAATGCAATTCTTGTATTTATATTAATGAAGGTTCCTAAACGTTAAATGAAAAGAATGGAAAATAAACAATCTCTCTTTCTTTGCTATTATCATTATTTCAGTAATCACGTGAAACGTGCTTTTCCTGAAAGCTATTTTGTTTGTTTGTTTCCAAAGTTCGCGCAAAGCTGTCCCTAGTTTTCAAATAATTGACTAAAGAGAATGCGGCTAGTCAATAGCACACACCGCCAACTCTTGGAGTACCAAACTGCGGGGTACATTTTTACTTCAAAGGAACCTCAAATTGTAAAAGTTCTAGCTTTCTGATCCCTCCTTTTGAACAGCTAATTAAGACGTTAGAAGTCACTGGAGTTGTTGTTTCTGTTATATCTATTTAAGGTCTAAATATTAAAAACAGTGTATACAATATGAAAATTGATAATTGCAATTAAATAACAAAAGCGATTTCGTAATCTTATATCTTCTTGCAAGTTGTTTTTTTTCTGTTATTTCTGAGTAATAAAATTCAGCGTATCGCAGTCAAACAAGAGGTGCTAGAATTTGTAGGAAATATGACCTTGGTGTCTCAGCGTATTCATGTAGGCTTATAACGTTTAAAATCGCGGTTTGATACCCGCAACATGTCACATTGCAAAT